TCCAGTCGTGACTGTAGTTGGTCAGAACAAGAGTCCAACTGCTGAGAGAGTCTCTTTCTATTCCAGGGGTTTCCAGACACTTAGCATACTCAGTAACTGAGAAATTTTGTAACATACACCTCTCAGTGTATATACATTGACATGTTGATAAATTAGACACATGTGCAACTCTTGGGTATCTTTATTGAGGAAACGTTTCGCCACACAGTGGCTTCATCAGTCCATACGTAGGAGAAACTTGAAGAACAGGAGGAGAATGAGGTAATCAGTTCCTCAACCTTGAGTCGATGTGGTCAGTCCATCAATCTTGAGTAGAATACGGCATATGAGCGGAGAAGCAGCTTATAAACCGTATGGCAGGAGAGGTGCAGCAGTCATAGGTGGCGACCTACTTCCACATTGAACAAATGTGACACCACCTATGACTGTTGCACCTCTCCTGCCATACGGTTTATAAGCTGCTTCTCCGCTCATATGCCGTATTCTATTCAAGATTGATGGACTGAACACATCGACTCAAGGTTGAGGGACTGATTACCTCATTCTCCTCCTGTTCTTCAAGTTTCTCCTACGTATGGACTGATGAAGCCACTGTGTGGCGAAACGTTTCCTCAATAAAGATACCCAAGAGTTGCACATGTGTCTAATTTATCAACATGTCGGTTCTCTGAACCATTCATCTACAAATACATTGACATACACCTCTCAGTGTATATACACTGACATACACCTCTCAGTGTATATACACTGGCATACACCTCTCAGTGTATATACACTGACATACACCTCTCAGTGTATATACACTATTACTGAATAATTATTTATCAGAGAACACCCATCTATCAGAGAACACCTATCTATCAGAGAACACCTATCTGTGAACATGTCTACCCCTGAACAAATGTTATCATGAATCTATCCCAACGAAGCAAAGATAACAGATAGATCACTATGGATAGAGGTCAATCTATTATACCGGACTCAAGAAGAACAAAAAGAGAAATCCCAGGTGAGAACAAGACATAGAACAGTAGGTTCTTGCACCACTGAAGAACAGATGAGTACACTGAAAGAGAACACTAAGTGTCAGGTGACCAAGACTGTTCAACCACCTCATAGATACTTAGTTGCTGATCAGCCGGACTGTGGTGCAGAGGTTGTCTTGCCTGCGGCCAGCAGTATGAGCATACAGTCAGGAGTCTTCAACACCCTTGACTGTCTACAAGATCCCTGACTGTCTTCAAGATCTCTGTCTTCGTAAAAGGACACAAGTGCAACTAATGTGACATTTATTGTGGCAACGTTTCGCTCTCCAGGAGCTTTATCAAGCCATTACAAACAATACATGGACACAGAGGGTATATAAAGGCTCAGAGTGAGGTGAATACTAGTGAGGTACCATTTCGATGTTCACTAGTGGTAGTAGTAGTAGTAGTAGTAGTAGTGGTAGTGACAAAAGTATTACAATATGGTAGAGCAAATAATTCGTACATGAGTAAAAGGATATAAAAGCTATTACTCATGTACGAATTAATTGCTCTACCATATTGTAATACTTTTGTCACTACCACTACTACTACTACTACTACTACTACCACTAGTGAACATCGAAATGGTACCTCACTAGTATTCACCTCACTCTGAGCCTTTATATACCCTCTGTGTCCATGTATTGTTTGTAATGGCTTGATAAAGCTAGAGCGAAACGTTGCCACAATAAATGTCACATTAGTTGCACTTGTGTCCTTTTACTTTACATATTGTCGGTAATTCTACCAACTTTATTACAATCTCTGTCTTCAAGACCTCTGACTGTCTTCAAGACCTCTGACTGTCTTCAAGACCCCTGACTGTCTTCAAGACCCCTGACTGTCTTCAAGACCTCTGACTGTCTTCAAGACCCCTGACTGTCTTCAAAACTCCTGGTTGTCTTCAAGACTCCTTGCCTGTCTACAAGACTCCTGACTGTCTTCAAGACCTCTGTCTTCAAGACCTCTGACTGTCAAGACCTCTGACTGTCTTCAAGACCCCTGACTGTCTTCAAGACCCCTGACTGTCTTCAAGACCCCTGACTGTCTTCAAGACCCATGTCTGTCTACAAACCCCTGTCTTCAAGACCTCTGACTGTCTTCAAGACCCCTGACTGTCTTCAAGGCCCCTGACTGTCTTCAAGACCCCTGACTGTCTTCAAGATCCCTGACTGTCTTCAAGACCCCTAACTGTCTACAAACCCCTGACTCTCCACAAGACCCCTAACTGTCTTCAAGTCCTCTGACTGTCTTCAAGACCCCTGGCTGTCTTCCAGAAGGCGCTGGACAGACCCCTAAAGTCAGCAACTGACCAGCCGGGCTGTGGTTCCTACGTTAGCTTACGTGCGGCCAACAGTAACAGCCTGGTTGATCAGGTCCTGAACCACCACGAGGCCTGGTCACGGACCGGGTCGTGGAGGCGTTGACCCCTGGGATAATCTCCAGGTAGTGTACCATTACCACATTGTACCATATTGTTCCACAGTGTACCATTATCACACTGTACCATATTGTACCACAGTGTACTATAATCACACTGTAACATATTGTACCATTATCACACTATACCATACTGTACCATAGTGTACCATTATCACATAACATACTGTACCATAGTGTACCATTGTGTACCATTATCACATACCATAGTGTACCATTATCACATTATACCATAGTGTACCATTATCACATTATACCATACTGTACCATATTGTACCATTATCACATTGTACCATACTGTACCACAGTGTACCATTATCACATTGTTCCTTATTGTACCATAGTGTACTATTATCACTGTACCATATTGTACCATTATCACGCTATACTATACTGTACCACACTGAACCATTTTCGCATTATACCATATTGTACCACACTGTACCATTATCACATTATACGATATTGTACCACACTGTACCATTATCAGATTATACTATACTGTACCACACTGTACCATTTTCGCATTATACCATATTGTACCACACTGTACCATTATCAGATTATACGATATTGTACCACACTGTACCATTATCACACTATACTATACTGTACCACACTGTACCATTTTCGCATTATACCATATTGTACCACACTGTACCATTATCACATTATACGATATTGTACCACACTGTACCATTATCAGATTATACGATATTGTACCACACTGTACCATTATCAAATATACTGTACCATAGTGTACCATTATCACATTGTACTGTATTGGACCATTAACACATTGTACCATATTGTACCCCAGTGTTGCATTATGACATTGTACCACATTGTACCACATTGTACCACATTGTACCATCCAGCAGAGAATGAAAATAAAAATCTATAGAATAAAATACTTTCAAAATCCTTCAAATAATATTATTACTATTATTATTGCAAAAATAATACGTACTATATATATATATATATATATATATATATTATATATATATATATATATATATATATATATATATATATATATATATATATATATCAGGTATATACACAGTGTATATTAAGTATGTTCCGGGTTATCCATTATTCTCTACGCGTGGAGCGTTCAACCCGTTTGGGTCCTTCAGTAGTGCCAGCTCATCCCGGAAGTGGCAGGAAGATGAGTAGGCAGGTGGCACTTTCTTATCCCTCCCAAAATTAAGGCACTTTCCACAATGTTTCGCCCAGAGCTCAGTGAAGATGGTCACTTCCGAACGAAATGTTGTGGAACTGGTACGTTGTCTGTGTTTCTAAAATTCGTCCCTGTGAAAGTGTACTGTCCGTGGTACTTCCCTGTTACGTAAGTACAGTACTGAGAGCACTTCCTTGATCGATGAACTCCGGAAAGTATTGGCCAGTAGGCCTTCTGCAGTGCTCCTTCTTTCTTATGTTCTGTGTAGTTGTTGGGGGAGTTTGGGAGATGGTTCGCCCGTCTTGTGGAGTTATAGGAGGTTAGAGGAGAGCTGGGAGAGTATTTTGTATGTTGTTATTGTGTCTCCTCTCTTGTTTGTCTTGTGATGATGGTTGGTGTTATGTGTGTGTGTACTGACCTAATTGTGTTTCAGGGGTCGATTCATAGGTTCTGGCGCCTCCTCTTCACAGGTCGCGACTAGGTCCACTCATTCCCTGCTCCAAGAGCTTTAACATACCTCGTCTTAAAGCTATGTATGTTTCCTGCCTCCACTACATCACTTCCCAGACTATTCCACTTCCTGACAACTCTATGACTGAAGAAATACTTCCTAACATCCCTGTCTTCATCTTCCAATTGTGTGTGTGTGTGTGTGTGTGTGTGTGTGTGTGTGTGTGTGTGTGTGTGTGTACATGAACCAAGTCTTCAGTACACCAAGTATACATAGCAACATACACACAAAGACCAAGAAATACACAGAGAACAATTCAAAACTCGGAAATGCCGCTAAGAAACAATTACATACAACTGTCCAATAATCTACATAGAACTTACTAAAGACAAAACATACACACACACACACACCAAACACATTATACACAAAAAAACATACACCAATATACATACATAGAGACAGAAACATATCTTGAAGACCAGGAGCATTATATATATATATATATATATATATATATATAAAATATAATATATATATATATATATATATATATATATATATATAATCTTTCAGTGATTCTTATTTAAATCAGTATCGTAACTCTTCCTTGTCCTCGTAACTAACATTAATATTGCAGTTACGAGAGAATTTGTAATTCAATTTATTGTTGATTAGTTAATAACCTGAGAAATTCAGGAAGGGACAGGTGGAGTGCCGCTACAACGGGGTTTTCTGATGAACGAGGGCAAGTGTTCACTATATGGGGGTTTCTGTACGTCCGGGGATACCACGTGATGTAATAGTGACGTCACAGTGACGTCACGGTGACGTCCAAGGTGAGGCGAGTATATAACGACAGAGCTGGCAACAAGAGCCGTCATTCTCTTTTGAAGCTCCGCAGTGAAAGTATTGAACCTCCCCATCCCTCGCTACCCCACGGGGCCTTTGAAAATTATCCCCCGACGTCGCCCCTATCGCGAAAAGCTTCAAGGGAAGAGGGAACTGAACCTTTGAACGGGAAATCCCAAAGGACTAGTCGTGTTGAACTCGCCACAAGGGGGAATCCCAGAGGAGTAAAGTTGTTGAACTCTGGGACGGAGGACGAAGCAAGGTGCAACCTGTTGATACCTGGAGCATTTTTAAGCATTTGTGTATAATGGAGCAGTGTTTGTGGTTCACCTGCCTCCTGGTGGTGCTGGCCCACACTCAGGCCCAAGGTTAGTGCTTCACATTTCATGCCTGAAACCTGATTCAGGTGTAAAACCTGTTTCAGGAAGACTTGTGGTATCTGAACCCTGAGGCTCGGGTATCAGAAACTGGTCCACTTTAACTGTGTTTCGTCTGCTTCCTGGTGGTCTTGGTCCACACTCAGGTTAGTGCTTCAAGTTTCATGCCTGAAACCTGTTTCAGGTAGTCTTCTACTATCCAGATCTTCTGGCTGGAATAGTACAAACTAGTCAGTTACTATCCAGGTACAAGAAATCTGCGCAGCGTCACCAGCAACGAACAGACTACAAACCCGATGTTTCGCTCCATCCTGGTCCATGACCGCAGGTCCAGTGGTCCAGTGGTTTACAATAAACCATCTCATTAAACCATGAAAGTCAATGTTTTTTATTGTTTTGTCCAAAATTCCATTTGACTCTAAATATTAATCTAAATTTATATCTGAGTTTAAATTCTATCTACTACGTTATTGTTGGTTTATTGGGTTTAAAGTCTACTGCACGAGGGTTGGTTTATTGGGTTTAAAGTCTATCTACTTCACTAGACTACACTACCTTCATTTATCTTCCTCAATCTCTCTCCTTCCTTCCTTCCTTCCTTCCTTCCTTCCTTCCTTCCGTCTCTGTACAACGTACAGTTATGCACGAATTAACCAGGACGCAGAAAGCGTTGATATGTACTCACTGTTCAGCCTTGAGGGTAATGGTAGTTCATGGTGGTCATGGTAGTTCATGGTGGCCATGGTAGTTCATGGTGGTAATGGTAGTTCATGGTGGTCATGGTAGTTCATGGTGGCCATGGTAGTTCATGGTGGTAATGGTAGTTCATGGTGGTCATGGTAGTTCATGGTGGTCATGGTAGTTCATGGTGGTCATGGTAGTTCATGGTGGTAAAAGGGTTTCATGGTGGTCATGGTAGTTCATGGTGGTCATGGTAGTTCATGGTGGTAATGGTAGTTCATGGTGGTCATGGTAGTTCATGGTGGTCATGGTAGTTCATGGTGTTTTAAAGGTAGTTCATGGTGGTCATGGTAGTTCATGGTGGTCATGGTAGTTCATGGTGGTAATGGTAGTTCATGGTGGTCATGGTAGTTCATGGTGGTAATGGTAGTTCATGGTGGTCATGGTAGTTCATGGTCATGGTAGTTCATGGTGGTAATGGTAGTTCATGGTGGTCATGGTAGTTCATGGTGGCCATGGTAGTTCATGGTGTTAATGGTAGTTCATGGTGGTCATGGTGGTCATGGTAGTTCATGGTGGTCATGGTAGTTCATGGTGGTAATGGTAGTTCATGGTGGTCATGGTAGTTCATGGTGGTAATGATAGTTCATGGTGGTCATGGTAGTTCATGGTGGTAATGGTAGTTCATGGTGGCCATGGTAGTTCATGGTGGTAATGGTAGTTCATGGTGGTAATGGTAGTTCATGGTGGTCATGGTAGTTCATGGTGGTCATGGTAGTTCATGGTGGTAATGGTAGTTCATGGTGGTTCATGGTGGTCATGGTAGTTCATGGTGGTCATGGTAGTTCATGGTGGTCATGGTAGTTCATGGTGGTAATGGTAGTTCATGGTCATGGTAGTTCATGGTGGTAATGGTAGTTCATAGTGGTCATGGTAGTTCATGGTGGTAATGGTAGTTCATGGTAGTTCATGGTGATCATGGTAGTTCATGGTGGTCATGGTAGTTCATGGTAATGGTAGTTCATGGTGGTCATGGTGGTCATGGTAGTTCACGGTGGTCATGGTAGTTCATGGTGGTAATGGTAGTTCATGGTGCTCATAGTTCATGGTGGTCATGGTAGTTCATGGTGGTAATGGTAGTTCATGGTGCTCATAGTAGTTCATGGTGGTCATGGTAGTTCATGGTGGTAATGGTAGTTAATGGTCATGGTAGTTCATGGTGGTCATGGTAGTTCATGGTGGTCAGGGTAGTTCATGGTGGTAATGGTAGTTCATGGTGGTCATGGTAGTTCATGGTGGTCATGGTAGTTCATGGTGGTCGTTGTAGTTCATTGTGGTCATGGTAGTTCATGGTGGTCACGGTAGTTCATAGTGGGTAATGGTAGTTCATGGAGGGAATGGTAGTTCATGGTGGTAATGGTAGGTCATGGAGGGAATGGTAGGTCATGGTGGTAATGATAGTTCATGGTGCGAATGGTATTTCATGGAGGGAATGGTAGGTCATGGTGGTAATGATAGTTCATGGTGCGAATATTTCATGGTGGGAATGGTAGTTCATGGTAGGAATGATAGTTCATGGTTATAATGGTAGTTCATGGTGATAATGGTAGTTCATGGTGGTAATGGTAGTTCATGGTAGGAATGGTAGTTCATGATTATAATGGTAGTTCATGGTAGGAATGGTAGTTCATGGTGATAATGGTAGTAATGGTAGTTCATGGTTATAATGGTAGTTCATGGTGGTAATGGTAGTTCATGGTTATAATGGTAGTTCATGGTGGTAATGGTAGTTCATGGTGATAATGGTAGTTCATGGTGGTAATGGTAGTTCATGGTGGTAATGGTAGTTCATGGTGGTAATGGTAGTTCATGGTTATAATGGTAGTTCATGGTGGTAATGGTAGTTCATGGTGATAATGTTAGTTCATGGTGGTAATGGTAGTTCATGGTGGTAATGGTAGTTCATGGTGGTAATGGTAGTTCAGGTGGCTGCATCTTGTTGTGGTCTGTAAGCTTTCAACACAGTACCACACAAGACACTGTCTGTAAGCTTTCAACACAGTACCACACAAGACACTGTCTGTAAGCTTTCAACACAGTACCACACAAGACACTGTAAGCTTTCAACACAGTACCACACAAGACACTGTAAGCTTTCAACACAGTACCACACAAGACACTGTAAGCTTTCAACACAGTACCACACAAGACACTGTCTGTAAGCTTTCAACACAGTACCACACAAGACACTGTAAGCTTTCAACACAGTACCACACAAGACACTGTAAGCTTTCAACACAGTACCACACAAGACACTGTAAGCTTTCAACACAGTACCACACAAGACACTGTCTGTAAGCTTTCAACACAGTACCACACAAGACACTGTAAGCTTTCAACACAGTACCACACAAGACACTGTAAGCTTTCAACACAGTACCACACAAGACACTGGTTAGTAGGCAATGAACTGCAATGACTCAGGGAATAAATGACAGGAAGGAAACGAGTATTGGCATGTAATGAGGTGTCAGAGTGGGCGTATGTGTCGAGAGGGGTTCCACAAGGGTCAGTCCTGGGTCTGGTGCTCTTTCTTGTATATGTGAATGATGTGATGGAAGAAATATTCAGAGAGGCGTCCCAATTCGTAGATGATGTGAAGTTAATAAGGAGAATACATGGGAACGAGGATCGGGTAGGATTACAAGGGGATCTGGACAGGCTGCAAGCCTGGTCTGTCAAATAGCTTCTGGAGTTTATTACTGTTCTTACTGCTGAACAGCGGTTTAGTGCCGATGGAGGTAGCGTAGGTAGCAATGATACGGCCGTGGACTAGTTTGGCTTTAATTGGATAGGAGTGAGTACACAACGGGCGGTGTGAGGGAGTGACCGCAAGCCAGTCCGTGGAGGGGGTGCTCTTGTGCCTATCAAGTCGGTCGGCTGAGGAGTGAGACCGAATGGGCTCAGCCTCCCACTGACCTGGGTGAGCCTACAGAGGGCAGCACTTAAATGGCGCGAAATATGAACTAGTCAGAACAGACGGCTTAGGCTGTCTGTCCTGACAGTACAGGCTGTCTACATTTAACCCCAGCTAGTGCAAAGTTGTGAAGCTTGGAGAAAGACAAAGAAGACTGCAGACGGAGTACAGGCCACAAACCTCACTTCAGGAAGAGGATCCTGGGGTGAGCATCATTCAGAACACGTCTCTTGAGGTGCACATTAACCAAATAACTGCTGCAGCATATGGGCGCCTGGCAAACCTGAGAATAGCATTTCAATATCTAAGTAAGGAGCCATAAACGACCCTGTACACCGTGTACGTTAGGGCCATATTGGAGTATGCAGCACCAGTATGGAACCCACACCTAGCCAAACACACCAAGAAATTGGAGAAAGTGCAAAAGTTTGCAACAAGACTAATCCTGGAGCTAACGGGTATATCTTATGAGGAGAGGTTAAGGGAAGTCAACCTGATGACACTGGAGGACAGGAGAGAGAGGCAGGACTTGATAACGACTCTGAACACTGAGAGGAATTGACAAGGTGGACAGGGCTAACATGTTGCAGAGATGAGACACAGGAACAAGGGGACACAACTGGAAACTGAAAAATTAGATGAGTCATAGGGATGTTAGGAAGTATTTCTTTAGCCTTAGATTGTCAGGAAGTGGAAAAAATCTGGAGAGTGAAATAGTGGAGGCACGATCCATACATAGCTTTAAGACGAGATATGATCAGGCTCTTGGAGCAGGTAGTGTGACCTAGTAGCGGCTAGTGAAGATACGGGGCCAGGAGCTGTGATTTGACCCCTGCAACCACATATAGGTGAGTACACACACAACACACACACACGCATCTGGTATGAAAGGCCCCTGGGAGCTAATGATCATGTGGTTCTGTGCTTCGACTACATAGTTGAGCTCCAAGTGGAGAGAGTAGCAGGAATAGGGTGGGAAAAACCAAACTACAAAAGGGGGAACTACTCAGGCATGAGGAACTTCCTTCAAGACATTCAGTGGGAGAGGGAACTGACAGGAAAACCAGTACAAGAAATGATGGACTATGTGGCAACAAAATGCAAGGAGGCAGAGGAGAGGTTTGTTCCCAAGGGAAACAGAAATAATAGGAAGAACAGAACGAGTCCTTGGTTCACCCAAAGGTGTAGGGAGGCAAAAACTAGGTGTACTAGAGAATGGGAAAAGGTACAGAAGACAGAGAACTCAGGAAAATAAAGAGATTAGCCGAAGAGCCAGAAACGAATATGCACAGATAAGGGAGGCTCAGCGACAATATGAAAATGACATAGCATC